GTGAGTGGCTGGTGTGGGGGAGGAGTGAAGGGTTGGGGGGGCTCCAGGGGTTAGGGCTGGTACTGAGGAACTCTGGGGGGTGGGGCTTCTGAAAGATCAGTAACATTTTATTTCCATATTAGCATATTTGCATAATAAACATGTAAATCTGCAAACAACATTGCCAGTCCATCAAAAGCTTGTGAATGAGTTTTCCAGTCCGCAGTATAAAATAAATTTTGAACCGCTGCCGTAAAAGACGTGCACTTTTCTCTGCATCCAGTCATAAGTCTACTACAGTTCAATTGGCGCACCCTGTAAATTTTAGGTACAAAAGCACAGTTAAGAAAACTGCCCTATCTTGGGATATCATCTTGGTGATGAGAGTCTTAGAATGATAAAATACTAGGACTAGCAGGGACCTCGAGAGGTCATCGAGTCCAGTCTCCTGCCCTCATGGCAGGACCAAATACTATCTAGACCATCCTTGATAGACATTTACCTAACCTACACTTAAACATCTCCAGAGATGGGGATTCCACAACCTCCTCGGGCAATTTATTCCAGTGTTTGACTACCCTGACATTTTTACTAATGTCCAACCTAAACCTCCCTTGCTGCAGTTTAAGCCCGTTGCTTCTTGTTCTATCCTCAGAGGCCAAGATGAACAAGTTTTCTCCCTCGTCCTTATGACACCCTTTTAGATACCTGAAAACTGCTATCACGTCCCCCCTCAATCTTCTCTTTTCCAAACTAAACAAACCCAATTCTTTCATCCTTCCTTCATAGGTCATGTTCTCTAGACCTTTAATCATCCTTGTTGCTTTTCTCTGGACCCTCTCCAATTTCTCTACATCTTTCTTGAAATGCAGTGCCCAGAACTAGACACAATACTCCAACTGAGGCCTAACCTGCACAGAGTAGAGTGGAAGAATGACTTCTCGTGTCTTGCTCACAACACACCTGTTAATGCATCCCAGAATCATGTTTGCTTTTTTTACAACAGCATCACACTGTTGACTCATATTTAGCTTGTGATCCTCTATAACCCCTAGATCCCTTTCTGCCATACTCCTTCCTAGACAGTTGCTTCCCATTCTGTATGTGTGAAACTGATTGTTCCTTCCTGAGTGGAGCACTTTGCATTTGTCTTTATTAAATTTCATCCTATTTATCTCCGACCATTTCTCCAATTTGTCCAGATCATTTTGAATTATGACCCTATCCTCCAAAGCAGTTACAACCCCTCCCAGCTTGGTATCATTTGCAAACTTAATAAGCGTACTTTCTATGCCACTATCTAAATCGTTGATGAAGATATTGAACAGAGCCCATCCCAAAACAGACCCCTACGGAACCCCATTTGTTATACCTTTCCAGCAGGATTGAGAACCATTAATAACTACTCTCTGAGTACAGTTATCCAGCCAGTTATGCACCCACCTTATAGTAGCCCCATCTAAGTTGTATTTGCCTGGTTTGTTGATAAGAATATCATGCTAGACCATAACAAATGACTTACTAAAGTTTAGGTATACCACGTCCAACATTTCTCTCTTATTCACAAGACTCGTTATCCTATCAAAGAAAGCTATCAGATTGGCTTGACATGATTTGTTCTTTACAAATCCAAGCTTGCTGCTACCTATCACCTTATTTTCTTCCAGATGTTTGCAGATGAATTCCTTAATTACTTGCTCCATTATCTTTCCTGGCACAAAAGTTAAACTGACTGGTCTGTAGTCTTTTTATAGATGGGCACTATATTTGCCCTTTTTCTGTCTTCTGGAACCTCTCCTGTCTCCCATGATTTTCCAAAGATGATAGCGAGAGGCTCAGATACAGGCAGTCCCCGACTTACGCACTTACGAACGGGGCTTTCTCGCCCCGGAGGTCGAGGTAGCGGATTGCTACCTGCAAGCTCCTGGGCGAGAGATCCCCGTTCGTAAGCTGCTCCGGTGCCCCTGGTCTGCTGGAGACCGTCTCCAGCAGACCAGGG